ATTCCATAGCATGTGGCTTATATCTCAATCCATTATTTATTTCTTTTTAAAAATATATATATTTTTATTGATTTTTTACAGAGAGGAAGAAAGAGGGATACAGAGTTAGAAACATCGATGAGAGAGAATCATCGATCAGCTGCCTCCTGGACACCCCCAACTGGGGATGTGCCCGAAACCAAAGTACATGCCCTTGACTGGAATAAAACCTGGGACCCCTCAGTCCGCAGGCCGATGCTCTATCCACTGAGCCAAACCGGTTTCGCCCCATTATTTATTTCATCTACAGTGGACTCAATTGTGCAAAGCCTGCTTTCCCCACAAGATCTTGACTCCTAAAGGAAGGGACTTTGTCCTTCTGAGTCTGAGCGTTCCTCAGCCTATGTTGAAGGCCTTGACATAGGCCAGTTCACTCTTACCCTGAGCCAACCTCTTTGCATCTCCCACCCCCAACACACACACACACACACACACACACACACCACTCACAGTCACAGCAATACTGCCAGATTTAGCAAGTGAAAACAAAGGGCACGCAATGAAATTTGAATTTTAGATAAACAATGAACAACTTTTTTGGCATAAGTATGTCCCATGCAATATTTGGGATAAAATTGTACTTTAAAAAAAAAAAGTATTCATTGTTTATCTAAAATTCAAAATTAATTGAACCTCTTTTATTTATCTGGTAACCCTAATCACCAGATAAAAAAAAAAAAAGTGTGCCCTAGCCAGTTTGGCTCAGTGGACAGAGCGTTGGTCTGCAAACCAAAGGGTCCCTGGTTCAATTCCGGTCAAGGGCATATTCCAAGGTTGCAGGTTCCTCCCTGGCCCAGGCCCTGGTTGGGGTGCATACAGGAGGCAACCAATCAATGTGCTTCTTTCACAAAGATATTTCTCTCTGCCCCCTCTCTTTCACTCTCTAAAAATCAACAGATGGTGGAGGAGGGTTAATGGGAGAGGGGGCAGGGGGAGATATGAATACTTTCAACAATAAGATTTAAAAATAAATTTAAAAAATAAAAATCAATGGAAAAATAGCCTTAGTTGAGGATTAAAAAAAGGGAAAAAAAAGTGTGAGTGGTGTGGGTAGGAGGGGAATATTTAGGGTGAAGACATGGGGCTGTGTAGATGTGGATGCTGCAGTGGAGATGGAGAAATGGCATCTTTCAAATGCTACCTGGCTGTGGATGTGAAGGGCAGGGCATGGCAGCCCATCTCCAGGTTTGCCCACAGAGAGAAGAGGACACGGGAGGTGCCTGTGCTATTCCAAGTGGAACTGGATCTGCACACACCCACAGCCTTTGGTCCAGAGCCAGCGGAGGTCAGGGCCATTTGGTATCACTTTGCACATGACTCCCGGGTCACATTAGAAAGCTGGGCCCTCGCCAAACTTTGGCTCAGTAAACAGGGTCCCAGGTTTGATTCCGGTCAAGGGCACACGCCCGGGTTGCGGGCTCAGTCCCCAGTAGGGGTCATGCAGGAGGCAACCCATCAATGATTCTCTCTCATCATTGATGTTTCTATCTCTCTCCCTCTCCCTTCCTCTCTGAAAACAATTAAAAAAAAATTATAAAGAAAGAAAGAAATCTGGGGGATCAAGGCCACCAGGAGCAAAAAATAATGTTTAAGGAGAGATAAATAAGAGAGGCAAGTGTGGGAAGACCCACACTGGGGAAAGTGAAATCAAGTTGTGGGAGGGAAGTAACCTAGGCGTCCCTCAAAGGGGTATTCAGTTCCACTGTATACAAACCCCTAAAAGGTGCCCACGTAGTACAAGGTGATTGTGTTCAGCTCAGCGGTTCTTCACTGGGAGTCCAAGCGGGGTGGACTGACACTGTAAGTAAAGATGTACATACACGCTCTTTTTCTGGGGAGAGCCACCAGATTCACAAAGGGATCTGTGATCCCCAGAAGGCCCAGAACGACAAATTGGTAAACCAGCTTAGCAGCTTCCCCCAAGCTGGCTTAGTTAGTCCAGGATGTGCAGGGTTCCAAGGTGGGGCTCCACCAAAAATGGAAGGAGCAAAGCCAATCTTTTTTTTTTTAATTAATATATTTTATTAATTTTTTTAGAGAGAGAAAGGGAGAGGGATAGAGTTAGAAACATCGGTGAGAGAGAAATATCGATCAGCTGCCTCCTGCACACCTCCCACAGGGGATGTGCCTGAAACCAAGGTACATGCCCTTTTTTTTTTCCTTTTTTTTAAAATATATTTTATTGATTTTGTACAGAGAGAGGGGGAGAGAGATAGAGAGGTAGAAACATCGATGAGAGAGAGTCATCGATCAGCTGCCTCTTGCACACCCCCTACTGGGGATATGCCCGCAACCAAGGTACATGCCCTTGACCGGAATCGAACCTGGGACCCTTCAGTCCCCAAGCCGACGCTCTATCCATTGAGCCAAACCGGTCTCGGACATGCCCTTGACTGGAATTGAACCTGGGACCCTTCAGTCTGCAGGCCGAAGCTCTATCCACTGAGCCAAACCAGTTAGGGCTGGAGCAAAGCCATTCTGAGGACAGCCACCTGGGAACCACATCCCAACTCCTAACTCATTCCCGTCCTGCCCCCATGGCAAGCTCCAGAGAGAGCCTGTGGCTCACAGAACTCTGGACACTGGCACAGGCCAGGGCATGAAGCAACTCTTCAACACAAAGTGGAGCCAAGGAGGGGAAACAGGAAAGCAACAGACCATTCACCCACAGCCCAGCATCCTTGGCTCCTGCTAATACCACTAGCCAACCTAGCGGGTAACTCACTACAGACAACCACGTGACGGGAAAAATACGGATTCGCTCATTTAATCCTCCCAATAACCCCACTGGGTGGGTACTATTTGAATCTTCATCCTACAGATGAGAAAATAGAGCCCAGAGAAGTTATGGAACCTGTCTGGAATTACACGGTGACAGAACCAGAAACCAGTCCCAGGCAATGTGTCCCCAGGAACAAAGCTTTGAGCCATTCTCTCATACAGCTCCTCAGAAAACTGAATTCCAAGGACCACAAGTGACCAGAGACAGAGTTAGCAATGTCATGTGTCCTTTCTCTATAGGAGCTACCATATTAAAATCACTGGCCCTGATAAATAAGAAAAGCTTTCCCGAATGCACGCCCCTAAGTCATCATGCCATGAGTTTTGTAAAATGGGTTCACAAAGATGCTATGTTTGGCTCAAAGGTTAAATTCCAAAGAACCATCTCAATCCCTCCCCCAACAGCAACTACAGGGTGATGATGACACAGTGTGCAGGCCTGGCCATGCTCATGGCTAAGGCCAGCACATCACACAAGCCACTCCATGCCATGTATCCTCTCCCGACACAGGAAATGAGCCTCCGGGCCAGGGAGAAGTTGGGGCAGCAGCATTCCTTTCTTGTTAGGTTCTGTAACCAGGAAGGGGGTAGGGGAACAGAACAGAGAGAGGGGAAGAAAAGTCCTGCTTGAGAGTTTCTGCTGACTCTCAGACCCCTCTGGCTCATCAATGAGTCCTTTCAGGGTTCCCTCTCCCCCAACAAAGTCATCATTTCCTGTCCAGCACATTACACCCATTGATGGGGTATCAGCGAATCCCACCAGTTTATGCCGGAAGGATCCGAGGAGATTGGACAGGAACTGGGGAGGGAAGAGAAAGAAGGCAGGAGGGTAAGGAGTGGCTTTCAATCCCCATTCAATGGGATATTCAATCCCATATTGGTGGTTTAAGAGAAGATTTGTAATACAGGAAGCTGGCTCTCCTCAGAGGTTATATAATAAGAACAATGGGATAAAATCAGGTACTTGGGGGCAAATATGCAAGCCTGGCCTTTCCAAGATGACTCATCACCAAAAGCCTACAAAGGAAGGAATAGGCCTTGGTTGTGAGGGTCAGGGATGGGTTTCTCTCTGTTGTGTTTTTATTGCCCTAAACTAGGTTCAGAGTCCCGAGGAAGAATCTAGAATTTCTCAGCTTTCCCTTCCTTATATGGGAAGGGCGGCTGCTCAGCTCACAATGATTCTGCCTTGTCTGGTACCTATGCCATATATAAGGGTGGGACCCTAATGGCCACATCTGTGCTACATCATACTAATTGGTCCAGAGAGGGCACCTGACCAAGTTGGGCCAATCAGCTTCTTCCCTGGAATTTTTCAATTTAGATGTGGGAGACAGTTTCTGCTGTTGGGAACCACAAGATATGAAATTCAGGAGCTGTTGACAGGATATGAGGTAACAGAAGCTAAAGACAGCGCTCAGAGAGAAGCAGAGGTAACCCTGGTTTCAAATGTTCCTTAGAACCACTGCCTCAAATCACCTCTTTACCATCTGGTTGACTGAATAAATTTCTCTGATATATCCTTCTCTTTGTCTAAGCGAATATGAGTATAAAACTATCACTTGTAACCCAAAGAGGCCTAACCAGATTAGTTGGTATCAAGGGAGGTGTTTGCAATGGATTTGTGGGATCCATATCAGCATCCCCGTGTGACCACACCTGTGTATATTAGAGAGACACACATACTGTCCACATGTACAAATAGGACAGCAGAGCCTTATTCGGTGAGACAGACAGTGGTATGTTCAGTTTGTGTCTGTAGTTCAAGAAATTACTTGTTTTCAGTTTCGGTCTTTTCTGTATGTTTGCTTTTCTTTGCCTTCAATGATGTGGTGGCTTGTGTCTCACTCTGGATGTTTATAGACATGTCTGCTCATGTACATAGCACTCCCGGCCATCTTCCTGCCTCTCCACCCTCATTCCTACCAGCCAGGCAAAGAAGAGTGACAAAGCATGACTGTTAAGACCATCTGATGAAGTACACAAAGCCCCAAGTGTTTGCCTGCAGTGTCCTAAACTGAGCCAAGCCCAGCTCGACCATCCAGGTTCCTCCGTCTGTCCCTCTGCTCTGACCTGGGCTCTGTGGGGGTTCCCCAGATGAGTGAGAGCATGGGAAAGGCCAGCCCACCAGAAAGTAGGGCCACAGAGAGAACTGGACACAATGTGAGCTCAGACCAACTCACCTGCAGGTCAAAGAACTTGCTGTACCTCCGGTAGATGGTCTGGGAGGTGGAATCAGACCAGGTCACGTTGATGATGTATACCTGTGGGGTAAAAGTAAGAGCAGGTGAGTGGGTGACAGAGGCTGGGCTTCAAGTAGTACCAGGCACCATTTAACATGACTGTGGGTGCTCCGTGCTCAGGACCATTCTTTTTCTCATCTCTGTCCCCAGGACCCAGTGCGGCGTCAGGTACATGTCAATGCTACACACATGTGTCTAAATATACACACAGACACACACACAACTAGAAGGGTAATCAATAAAATGTTAAGAATGATTTTCTTAGAACAAGATTATAGGTGGTTTTCATTTCCTTCTTTTCATTAATATGTACTTTATACAATGAACATAAAATTGGGGTTGTTAAAAAAAATGTAAGTAGCTATTATAATTAATTTCCACTGGTTCTCAAACTTTGGGGTGAATGAGGGTCTGTAAGGGGCCTTTCACAGTTGCAGGTGCCAGGACCCCTCCCTCTGAAGTTCTGCATAAGTAAACTTGGGTTTTAGGGATCTACATTTTATTCTATTTTTTAAAACATTGTTTTTAAACAGTCGTTTCAGGTTCACAGCAAAATTGAGTAGAAAGTACTGCGTTCCCATGATCCACCCACCAGGCACAGTCTCTCCCACTATGAACACCCCACCATAGTGGTACGTTGGTTGCAATCGGACATCAAAAGTTTTAATAAACCACTCTGGGGTATTCATGCCACAGCTGATTCTCAGAACTCGCTTGGAAAACCATTCAGGAGGCCGCAGCATTTCAGACCTGCGACTCCTCTCTATCCTTAAGTCTTAGCTCAGTGCACTTCAGCCTGGCACAGAGCGGGCACAGAGCGGGCGCTCAGAGAACATTCTGCTCTGTTGAACAACCAGGCTGACCGTCTGCATGACAAGTGGATTTGCAGGAGAGATGTTGGCGCATGGAAGATGGGTAAACTTTTCAGAGATGAAGGTATTTCAGGACTCCATTCCCAATGTCCCCTCAGGTCCCAAGCTCAGTCAGGCTCTCCAAAGCCGCTGCCTCAACGGCTCTGGAAGGTTCCCTTGCCTAGGAGGTGGCTGGAGGAAAGAAAGTCCTCTCCCTACACAACCTGGCCACTGCTCTCGCCATTTTTATCCCTTTCACCAGAACCCACACCAAACGCACACCCTCCTGGGCGAGGCGTCAGTTAGGGCGAGGGGATCCCCTCACACAACCTCAAGGCTTCTCTGCTGACTGGAAATCACCTGGGAGCTTAGTACAAACTCATATTCCCAGGCCTCTGCCTAGCAAATCTGAATCGGTGGTCTGGGGGGCACTCTACGAATGAGAAGAACAGAGAAGCTGGGCGTCTCGGCCCCTGTGGGAAGGAAGGAATGTTAGCAAAGAGGAACAGCATTTAGACACTTCGGCTTCAGGGTAGCTGACACCACCATGAAGAAGGGCTGTCTCAGTCTGCTTGGGCTGCTCTAACAAAATACCATCCACAAGGCCGCCTACACTACAAACACTTATTCTCACAGTTATGGAGGCTGGAAGTCCAGGATCAAGGTCCCTGGTGAGGGCCCACTTTCTGGCTTGCAGATGGCTGCCTTCTTGCGGTGCCCTCACCTAATGGAGGGAGGGGGCTCTGGTCTCTTCCTCTTCCTATAAGTGCACTAATCCCAGCATTGAGGCTCCACCTCATGATCTCATCGAAACTTAATCACCCACAGGCCCAGCTCCATACCGTCACACCGGGGACTAGGGTTTCAACGTATGAATTGGAGGAGGGACACAGCATCCAGATCAGAGCCAGGGTTTTGCACACAGGGGTGTGAGGCTTTCTGTCTGGCTTCTCAGTTAACAGCCAAGGAAGTGAGCTCAGAAAACAGTCCCTTCTTCCCTCTAACCCCTAAGTCAGAGTTAGCCTCGGGCAGGGTGGTGTGTTTGTTCTGAAATGCACCCAAGGAGAGGGCCACAAGCAAAGCAAATAGACCTAAGTGATACCAACCCGAGAAAGGGCATTTATGGCATGTTTTACGTAATCCTGATAAGAAAGAACATAACGTAAAAGGCCATCCCTATCCTCACAAGCCCAAAATAAACTAATGACCATTACTATAATAAGTAGATAAGGGTATGATGTGTTTTATATGAGCTGTAAACATATAGCTCATACAGTAAGTTGTAGAAACCATTTAGATACTGGTTACCACATGCCAGCACAGTGACAAACATTCATATGCATTAGCTCATTTCATCTGCAGCTCAATGAGGTGGCTACCACTGTTATCCCCATTTTGTACAGGAGGAAGCCATGGTTCAGAGAAGTGAAGCAACTTGCCCAAAGTCACACAGGCTGCAAAATACAGAGCAAAGGATTTAAACCTGAGTGTAGCTGAGTCCAATCCCCATGCTTTTAACCACATGGACTATCTATGTGTAGATTTAGGAATGTGGATATTTAAATCAAACTACTTAATCAGAACTGAATGACATCTTTTTTGAAAAATGCTTTTATTCATTTCAGAGTGGAAAGGAGAGGGGGGGAGAGAGAGAGAGATAGAAACATCAATGATGAGAGAGAATCAATTATCGGCCGCCTCTAGGGATGGAGCCTGCAGATGTGACCTCCTGGTTCATAGGTCGATGCTCAAACACTGAGCCATGCCAGCCCGGCTGAATGACATCTTTTTCAATAAAGTTCTAGATGGTCTGAAGAGTCTGATCACCCCTTGTTTAGGGGGTGAGCCTAAAGGACCATGGTGGAGTCGTGTAAATTCTGAGAGCCTGAAGCCAGACAGAAGTCAACGGTTAGGAATGCTACAAAACCAGACCAACACAAAGGAAACCCTCATATACAACCAGCTAGCTATGGCAGGATGCTCTGGAATTTTCACAGGGGTTATAACCCACCCTCCCACCCAACACTGACTCTCAGCTCCTTGACGCTCAAATCCTGCCAGCTGTGTCTGGCCTTCCAGGAGACCCTGGGCAGGAAGCAGATGCTGTGCACAACCAGGTGCTGCCTTCCTGACCTCTGCCCAGGTGGATGCAGCTTTCGGAGGTCCCACGTGGCCCTGTCCTCCCAGGAGAGAGACTGCACTTGCCTGCAGGCCATTGGACAGCAGCCTATCTCCCTGGTCAACCAAGCAGGGCCCAAAGGAAGGGGTACAACTCACAGGGCAGGACCAGAGCCTGCCTCCCTTGGAAAAATCCTTCCCTTTTTACTCTTCAGATACTTGAAAAGTCACAGGGTGTCATCTAGGTCTAACCCTTGACTTCAACCCACACAAAAGACAAGCCTGTTAGACACAGCCAGAGGACAGGGGTGAGGGGAGAGCTGTCCATGTGACCCTTGTCCGCCAGAGCCACCAGCTTCCCCTCAAGCACATTTCTTTGCTTGTTGGGCAAAGACTTGCCTCTGCTAAAGGGAGAGTGAGATGAGGGGGGACGAGGGTAAAGGGGGGATAAATGGTGATGGTAGAAGACTTGACTTTGGATGGTGCACACACAATACAGTACACAGACGATGTATTGTAGAATTGTACACTTGAAACCCATGAAATTTTATTAACCCATGTCACCCCCAAAAATGTCAATAATTAAATAAAAAAAATGTAGAATTGCTCCTGCTAGCATCTTGTACTTCCTCAGGGCATGAGGGTAACTCCCGTGTGGTGATGGGAAATGAACCCATACTCCCAGGTTCTCCCAAACCTCTGGGATTTGCCGAAGGCCCCGGAGCCCGCCCTCCTGGACAACCTACATCCTAAGGCCAGGCTCCAGGTCCCTTTCTCTCGTGTGAGCAGGAGGCACCTCTGCTTTCTTCCAAACCTTGGGCATCCTAGATCATCCCTGTAGATGGACCGTGGATACACAAAATTCCAGCTTAACCCACACTCTCCCCCCCCCACCCCCACCCCCGCCAGACTTTCTCAAGCCTCCCTGAACCGGTGCTGCCGGATGGGAAACCTCAGGGATAAACTGTAGAGAAAGAGCAGGTGGCGGGGAAGGGGGACAGGGCGGAGGTCATCTGAGAAAGCCAGCTCTGTTGACTCGGGCCCAGATAAACGTCTCTGGTCACAGGAACGACCGAGATAACATTACCCGGCAGCTGTGTCTCCAGAAAGGTTTGCAATGAAACATCCTGCTTCCACACACACGTTGGGGTTATGTTTCCCGGATGGAGTTTCCCTTCCCTTCTGGATTTAAAAACACACACCCATGGATTCTATTTCCCCCGTCTCTGGCCATCTAGGCAGATGGCAGGCGTCTAGGAAGCCTCGCTGTAGACCAGCAACTGCATCCCACTTCCCTGGAGAGGAGGCCCGGAGCCTCGGGTCCTCCTGCCCCGCTCAGCCTCTGCAGGGAGGATCTCCACCGCAGACACCGCGATGGAAACTCCCGCCAGACAGACACCCGCACGAAGGTGCGCTCCCACCAGCCCACCCACCCCGAGGCCGCCTTCCATCTGCTCAGCTCGTTAAGCCCAGCAATGTCTGAGGCTTCCGAGACTTCCACGGCTTCCAAGTCTCGCTCCTTGCAACGAGAGAGCAGCCTTGATGCAAATCAGACCCTCAGCTCAACTCCAGCGCATGGAGAATGGAGCCCGGCCCAGTCCCTGCGGAGGGATGTCCACCATCGGACCTGGGCTGCAAACAATTAACGCCACAGAGCTATGGCCCAACCGACCCGAGAAGGCCTAGGACCAGCCTGTGCTTAATTAGCGAGTCCCGATGTTCCACTTCGCCGAAGGAGAGTGCAGTTAGGGACAGGAGGTAGGAACTGTGGAGGAGATGGTGTGTGTTTGTGGCGCTGTGCTCAGTTCAGGAAGGAAGGCCTTCTTTTCCCTGGGTCCCATCTGGCCGGCCCTGGCCCCGGGCCAAACGTTAGAGATAATCTTGCTTCACCTGCTCACACCGCCTCCAGGCGGGATCTGCTGGCTAGGAGCAGGGCTGTTGATTGGGGGAACAGCCCCACTCGAAGCCCGGACAAGCCCCACCCCAGCATGCACCTGCAGAGGTCGGCTAAGGGTTAATGACCAGGTGATCAGTCCTCAGATCCCCCTCCCC